GGGAATGATCCTGATCTTTTGGTACTGGTTGAGACCTGATTTGTGACCTAGGATGTGATCAATTCTGGAGAATGTTCCATGGGCACTAGAGAAGAATGTGTATTCTGTTGCTTTGGGATGGAATGTTCTGAATATATCTGTGAAGTCCATCTGGTCCAGTGTATCATTTAAAGCCTTTATTTCCTTGTTGATCTTTTGCTTAGATGATCTGTCCATTTCAGTGAGGGGCTGTTAAAGTCCCCTACTATTACTGTATTATTGTCAATGTGTTTCTTTGATGTTGTTATTAATTGGCTTATATAATTGGCTGCTCCCATGTTAAGGGCATGGATATTTGTAATTGTTAGATCTTGTTGGATAGACTGTTTAAGTAGGATATAGTGTCCTTCGTCACCTCTTATTATAGCCTTTGGCTTAAAATCTAATTTGTCTGATATAAGGATTGCCACCCCAGCTTTCTTTTGATGGCCATTAGCATGGTAAATAATTTTCCACCCCCTCACTTTCAATCTGGAGGTGTCTTTGGGTCTATAATGAGTCTCTTGGAGACAGCATATCGATGGGTCTTGTTTTTTTATCCAATCTGATACCCTGTGTCTTTTGATTGGGGAATTTAGACCACTTACATTCAGGGTAACTATTGAAAGATATGAATTTAGAGCCATTGTATTGCCCGTAAAGTGACTGTTACTGTATATTGTCTCTGTTCCTTTCTGGTCTATGTTACTTTTAAGTTCTCTCTTTGCTTAGAGGAACCCTTTCAATATTTCTTGTAGGGCTGGTTTGGTGTTTGCAAATTCTTTTCGTTTTTGTCTGTCCTAGAAGCTTTTTCTCTCTCCTGTTTTCAGTGATAGCCTAGCTGGATATAGTATTCTTGCCTGCATATTTTTCTCATTTAGTGGTCTGAATATATCATGCCAGTCCTTGCTGGCCTGCCAGGTCTCTGTGGATAGGTCTGTTGCCAATTTAATGTTTCTACCATTATAGGTTACAGACCTCTTTTCCCCGAGCTTCTTTCAGGATTTTCTCTTTGTCTCTGAGATTTGTAAGTTTTACCATTAGATGTCAGGGTGTTGACCTATTTTTATTGATTTTGAGGGGGGTTCTCTATGCCTCCTGATTTTGATGCCTGTTTCCTTCCCCAAATTAAAAAAGTTCTCCACTATAATTTGCTCCAATATACCTTCTGCCCCTCCTTCTCTCTTTCTTCTTCTTCTGGGATCCCAATTATTCTAATATTTCACTTTATGGTATCATTTCTTTCGAATTCTGCCCTCGTGATCCAGTAGTTTCTCTTTTTCTCAGCTCCTTTATTCTCCATCATTTGGTCTTCTATATCACTAATTCTCTCTTCTGCCTTATTTATCCTAGCAGTTAGAGCCTCCACTTTTGATTGCACCTCATTAATAGCCTTTTTGATTTTGACTTGGTTAGATTTTTAGTTCTTTTTTTTTTTTCCAGAAAGGGATTTTCTAGTATCTTCTATGCTTTTTTCAAGCCCAGGTAGTATCTTTAAAATCATCATTCTGAACTCTAGTTCCGACACCGTTCTAATGTCCGTATTGATTAGGTCCCTGGCAGTCTGTACTGCCTCTTGTTCTTTTTCTTGAGGTGAGTTTTTCCATCTTGTCATTTTGTCCAGAAGAAAATGGATGAATGGGGGGGAAAGAAAGGGAAAAAAGTAAAAAAGAATATCATCAGGCTGGTGAATAGAACAGAGCCACACACTAGATTTTGGGTGTATTTTGGTCTGTTCGAAGAAACTGCCTCCCAAATTTTTTAAAGAAAGACATATATATACAAAAATAAGGATAAGTACAATGAAGATATGGACTATGACTGTAAAGATGAAAAGTAAAAAAGATTTTTAAAAAGGAATTGATAAATTGGTTGGGAAAAAAAATTGTGATCAGACAGGAAAGTAGAACAAAGCCATACAATAGAGATTTAGGGTATATTTTGGTCAGAAGAAACTGTATCCCAAAATTTTAAAGAGAGAAAAGCTTGTGTGTGTGTGTGTGTGTGTGTGTGTGTGTGTGTGTGTGTGTGTGTGTGTGTGTGTGTGTATAAGGTTAAATACAATGAAGGGATAGGATATCACTCTAAAAATGAAAATTAAAGATTTTAGAAAAAGGAATTGATAAGAGGTTGGTTGAAAAAGGGAAAAAGAAAAATTCAATAAAAATAGAAAATTAAAAAAATTAACTTTGAAAAACTAAAGAATCATGGGGGACAAAGCCATGAATTCTATGTCCTGTATTCCCCTAGTGCTGGAGTTCTGCCATTCTCATTGATTGGTAAACTTGGTCTTGGTGGGCTGTTCTTGCTGATCTTCTGGGGGAGGGGCCTGTTCCCATGGTTCCCAAATGTCTTTGCTGGAGGCAGAATTGCCCCGCCCTTGCCAGGTCTGGACTAAGTAATCTGCTCGGGTTTGCTCTCAGGAGCTTTTGTTCCCTGCAAGCTTTCCATATAGCTTTGGAGGACGAGAGTGAAAACGGCGGCCTCCCAGTCTCCATCCCGGAGGAGCCGAGAACTCGGGGCCCCACTCCTCAGTGCGCCCCCAGAGAAAAGCAGTCACTCCCATCTCCCCGGTCTCCAGCCACACTCACCCGGCCTGTGATCTATCTCTGGCACACGATCCCGTGTGGAGTCTCCAAATCCAGCAGATCCCTGCCGTGTGCTCCCGTGCCACTCCTCCTGGGGGAGGGAGAGTCTCCCTGGATCTGCCACTTGTTGGGTCCCTGCTGGAAGAGCAGTGGCCGGACTGTGCCGCGGATCACAGTTTATGGCCACCCCGAGCTGAGAGCCTGCTCCTCGGTTCTGTCTCTGCAGCCGGCTTCCCTGCTCCTATACCTGGGAGCTCTGTCGCACTCAGGCACCCCCGGTCTTTCTGTGACCCTGAGACCACACTGTCCCAGCAAGGGTTCCACCCCCTGCTTAGCCACTGGAGCAACATCCCTTAGTGGAGCTGACTTCTAAAAGTTCTGACTTTGTGCCCCATTGCTCTATCACTTGCCGGTAGCGGCTGACGGAGGCCCCCTCCCCCGCCATCTATCCTCCCGAATATCGCCTCGGATTCACTTCTCTGCACATCCTACCTTCCAGAAAGTGGTCACTTTTCTGTTCAGAGAGTTGCTGCTATTTTCTTTGATCTCCTGTTGAGTTCATAGGTGTTCAGAATGGTTTGAACCATTACCTATCTAGCTGAATTCCTGGAACCAGACGAAATTTAGGTCTCCTACTCCTCTGCCATCTTGCTCTTCCCCACCCCAGATCACCCTTTTTTGGGTTCGTTATTTCTTGAATGATACCATCATCATCCTAGGTAATATCTTTCCATCTCTTTCCTCCTAGACCTCTTCTAGCCCTTAAAATACATCCATCTGGTATTTCATCACAGAGGGAATTCCTATACCTTTCCTGTAACTTCTGAATTCATCTACATAAATCATTGGGTTTATTTGGTTTTAAAATTCTGGATTGTGTTTCTCCTGGGGCTGGTTCCCAAGATCCCTTTTTGGAAGTGTAAGAGCATCTTTCATCTCTAATGGTCTTTTATGTCCAGCCGGCTCCAGCATTGCTATGGACCATTCCTTAAACCCTTTCTGACCCCTGTCCTCATGGGCACACTACTGCTATCAGCCTCAGGCCTCACTGGTACCCTCTTAGCCAACCAGCATCTTCCTCTGGTCTATTATCACATCACTGTGATTCCCTTAATTCCTTACCTTATACCCATCTTCACCCCTTACTCTGTCTTCAGCAGGTAAGACTGACCTTTAGAGGAACCTCCAAAACGCTCACCAAATATTGCCAATTGCAATTTCTTAGCAGAGCCTTCTTTCCTGGCAATTTGTCATTACCCCTGATCTACAAAGGAGCAGCTCGTAGTTTAAAATTCAGCTTGTAGAACTTTTGTGATTGACGTACACTGATGTTTTTATTTTTTTCTTTTATTTGAATGACTTCAGAGGGGCTTTGTGCTCTTTACATGCTCAACATGTTCCCAACAATTTCCTATATTCTTTTATCTGGCCAATTTTATTGATTTGTATTAACGAGATCGATATCTATAACCAGTTCCAGTCCTGGTAACACCTGCCAAATCTTTTGCCCAGACCTTCTAAGTTCTCCTTTGTCCCTCCCTACTAACCTCTAGACTTGTGGCATCATCTAATGGAGTATCCTTAACTCTTTGCTCAATATGCTCATCCTTCTTTGAGACCTATCTTTCAGTGAGAAATTTTCCTCCAAAACTCAACTACCCTAATGATTCTAACCCATATATGAACATCTCTGATCATTACATTTGATTTTCTATTAAATCATTCTCCATTTTGAGTCCTTATACAAGTCTGGGAGAATGAGTTAAATGTTTTTCTCTGTTTCTAAATAAAAAAGACCATAGAAAGAACTAAAAATAGTTCAACTTCAGTGTTCCACATGTTATTGGTTTGTTGTACAATTCTTCATTTTTAGTTTCCAAAGAAAGGAATTTCTCACCCTTTATCTACCTTTCGCAGTTGTGTATAAGGACATATACTCATTCACCATAAACACTTCTAATAACAATCCTATCTCACCTTCCAAATAGGCCCTATTTCCCCACACACTCATACAAGTTACTAGCATAGATATATAAATCAGTTTGTACATGCTTTGGGGGAAGTTTTTTATATTTGAAATAAAAACATGTTAAAGTAGCTACAATCAAATTGTTTTTGCTAACAGAGCTTAATCAAAACATGGACAAAAACCTAAAATAATTTATGCCAAATTTGCCACTTTTGCAGTTACCTGGTTTGCTGGGAGTAGTAGCTAGGAACCTAAGTTTTAGTATTACTTTTCTATTGTTGGGCACATAGACCAATTACTTATAAAAGCTGATATTCAATTACAAATGGAAGTGATGACCTCTTTTTAATAAAGACCTGGTGGCTTTTATTGAAATGCACAAAATCTACATGCATGCCTATATGGTTTTTGTTTTTTAACCTCAGGAAATCAATGTGTTGACAGTCGCCTTGGTCAACCAAGACCGAGAGAACAATATTGAAAAAAGAAGCCAAGGCTTAAAATCAGAGAAAGAAGCTCTGCTAATTGGTAAGGAAATTGTTTTCCTCATCCTTTGTCTTCAATAATATTAAAATAATTCACCTCCAACCTGTTAACAATTGAAACAGCTTTGCTTTCTGGTCAGAAGTGAGATTAACTTCGTCAAGATTATATTATACTTACATTTCAAATTAGGGACAAACTAAGGGGTTTTGCTCTTTTGTAACCATGTATATTAGTTGGCTGTACAACATAAAACTGATTACAAGACTACGGATTAATTTGCATCTCACATGTTACAAATCTGAATTCCAAAATTTGGACACATAGCTTCCAACTGAAGGCCAGGTTGCATCCAGTCCAAAAGTTCCAAATCAAGCCAGGTCCCCAGACTCAAGAGAGGCTGCATCCTGAGGTCATCCCTGTAATGCTGATGATATAGGGACATCTGGACTACCACTGCTAGACTAATCCAGGCTTCCCTGCCCAAGTTTGGATCCATTTAACCAACATAAATAAAACAAGCTGGCCACAAAGGAAGGGGAAAGGAAGGAAAAATTTACTGTTCTTTATTTGCCCCACAAAATACATCTAGGTTGGCATTTTTCTTGGCGGGGGGTGGTCTGGACCAGAGTCAAAGCTCTAACTGGTCTCTTTTTGAGAGTCCTCATGAGCAGATCCAGAAGTAGTACTTATTCTCACAAGGAAGAGTTCTTGATGAGGTTATGTTGGTGACATGCCTGGGACTCCACTTTAAAAGCTGGTATGTTTAAGGGCTGTCTCCAAAGTCCTCTCTAGAGAAGGAGAAGTTGTCCTCCTCACTCTGTGATGCACAGCATTCATTCAAGCTATGCCTTGGCACTGACCCTGGTGTGGGGTTCCAAGTTTAAATTGGCTCCTCCTTGGCACAGTTAAGAGTGAAGAATGAGGCTGTTGTACATGTGAGACAAATTGTTCTTCTATAGTTGGTATTCTGGCAGAAGTAACACCTGGTTACATTTTCTAAATAATGCATGCACTCACCTCAAAATGACAGGTACACCAGGGCCTGTAGAAGCTGGCAGAGGAGGAATTAAATTCAAGATAGTCCAAACTTCATCCATCATATATAGATTTTTCAACTACAGGGTTATTGAATATGACATCAACTTAGAGATACTCCAAGGAAAACCAATTATTTTTTTTCTCTCTGATGATATACAGCTGTAATAACATGCCATGCACAAGTTTCATAAGACATGCTGATGTGTTATCAGTTCCAGGAACCCAAAATGAACCTGTATGTAGTTGGCAACTGGATTTTTCTTCTATTGGAAAGTGTGTCAAACACTGACAACTGTTTCTCTTTTGCTCAGTGTGACAAAGTTGTGATCTCCCCCATGATTTTGGGGTATGAACAATACAGACCACTTGAAGCTTAAAAAAATGGGAGTGAGTCTCCATTTTTTAAATTTCATGCCTCTCATAAAGATTGGTTCTCCTTGTATGTTCTGCCTGGAGAACAGAGTTCACTTACAATGTCTCCTAAATAATTACTATACATACACACACACACTTTTTTCAATCAGCCACCTCAAAATTTAAGAAATGATCTGCTTTACACAACACAGGTTAATCGGAGTAGATAATTTATAACAAGTTATCTCTGCTGAGGTCTTTAGTATTAGAAAATTCAAAAGTGTATTAGAAAGAAAAAATTTAGTCGGAATCTTCAATAAGAAGCAGGCACAACCAACTCTGTTTTCCAGGATTTTTCCCCTCACTTTTGGTCTTTTGAACTGGTTTACCAATATTAGCATTTGGCACTTCTTTTGATCAATATATGAGAAGGGAGGCTAAAGACTCAAGTTTTTGATTAAAATAAACTTGGGAGGTTTTTTTTCCCCTTCATTTCTCCATTACCTCTCTACCTTGATATTTTATCTTAATCTACCTTAATGGAAATTTTAAAACAGATGTGCTCCCCACCCACGCCCTCCCCCCAAATACTGAGGTACTTATACTTCTGCCATCAGAGAGAGAGTAATCATCCAGAGGAATGACAAGGTAGAAAAGAGTTTCTAAGACTGGCAAAATGGATCCTGCCGGTAAGTGTGCCTCTCTGCTAAGTGAGTTTGGCCATCCATATTTTGTAGAAACCTGAATGCTGAGACCAAAAAGACTTCTCCTGCAGCTTCTGGAATTTAGTTAAATGTTGTGACAGGGACAGAATGACAGAATATGGATTCCAAACTGCTTTGGATCAGGCTAGACAGAGAAAGGAGTTTCTGGTGCTGCGGATACTCTTTTCTGAAGAACACTTGGTAGAATGATTCTGGGAGCCCCCTGGACTTCTTATCTATCTGGAGAGGTCGGGGATACTCTTTGCAGTCTCCCCAGAATCTTCCCATGGAATAATTAAACCTATATAGATATAGGGTATAGTGGGCCTGCTCCAAGTCAGCCTAAGAAAGCCAGGAGCATAGCAAAAATCTCCCTTGAATTGGAAATACTTATTAGCAAAATCTTTATCACATCTGGGTACCTATAGTATATGCAAATATATTCAGATAACACCCTCTTGGGATACACAAATGTTATATAAAAATGCACAGTGGCATAAATCTGGATTTCCTGGAAGAGAAGCAGGGAGTGAGAAATAAGCTATTCAAATAGATTCCATATATAGAGAACATAAAACTGAGGCTAGAACTTCCTAAACAACAAGTAATACTAATTATTTGTGATTATTTGTGACACTAATCTAGCTGGGCAAAAGTATGTATTCTTTCTCATGTCCTTTTTATAAAACTGGAGTCTTCAAGATATAAGGTAGATACATAACAGAAGATCAGTGGGATTTCATTGACATTATTTGGAGTTTTGCAGATTTGGATTCTGAGTCCCTTGCGAGTTCAACCATTCTGCTAAATTTTCTGCTTGACAATTAACGGGGACCAAGTGCTATATTCCAACTCAGCTAAAAAGACGGGCCCTTGGAAAGGACTTTATTATTATGATTTCTGGATTATTTTATAATCAATCCTTGTAAAGACAGGTTAACATGTAATTAGACCTAACAGAATTACATGATTATGGAGGGCAATACAGGGGACTATTTTATAGCTCACAACTCCATGGTAGCTACACATTAGGTCAGCCTGATGTTGCCTAGCATCTAAGCCCGAACTCCTAGTCCTCTTCACATTTGGCCTGCACATTGGATTTGGCATGTACTGACCTTATATGGGATAGAATGAGACAATACTTTTGATTTAGTACCAAAGCTTTGGAAACCACTAGCTATTATTATGAAGAATGGATCAAAAGAATTTTTATTGATAGGCAAATAGCTCAGAAGAGATGCCAACAGTGTAACTCTGGGTCTGATCACTCCACCTTCTCTTTCTTTTTAAATGATTCTAATAAAGTAGATTTCCAATCCTAACAGCCCTGATTGGCACCCTGTCAATGCTAGTCATCACTCCAAATCCCATCCAGATATAGTCAAAACCTTCTCAACAACTGTTTTATAAAGTATCTGTGCTTCAGAACTTCCCCAGACCCCTGAAAACCCTCTGCAAATTCTTAATGATAAGACAAGCTTCTTTACAGATCACCCTGACTCTGACCCTTCTGCAGATCAGGACATACATATTACAGGGAACCACGACGCTGCTTCCCGTCAACGCCCCCCCCGCCCCGCCCCATCTCCATCACTACCACCAGTTCATGCATCTGTGCACAACCAGTCTATCTGAACAGAAACGTTCCCCCTAATACATAGGTGTTAGGAAGCAGATGAATGGACTATAGAGAAATACACTTTTAAAGAAGGTTAAATGGTGACGTTTTGGTGTTTTCAGTGAAAGGAGTTGAGGCTATATTTAGGCTGCACCTGAACAAAGTAATCTGGGAAATATGTGCTTCTCTGAAAGCTGACCATAAGGAATGAGTCATTGACCTAAATCTTGTTTCCAAGACACAAATGTCCATATCAATAAATCAACAAACATTTGTCAAGAGCCTACTATAAAAATTACCAGCCTTCATTGTGGAAAGGAATCATCTGGGCAGCCTGTTAAAAAGGTAGACTCTCTGCCCCTCACCCCCCACACACAGATTGTGTTTATTCTAAAACTGACATCCAAGGTGATAGTCAAACAGGCACTAATGGGACCATTGTTCTGAGAACTACTCGCCTATCATATGCCCGAACCTGTGGTCACCGACGGTAGTCATCAGGTGATCTCTTCCCTCAAGAAGTTCATAGACTAGTGAGAAAGGAAGCAGTTAATGACGAAATATGGTTTGTACTAAAATCAGAAACCCAAGAAAGGGCTACTTACACTACAGATGGTTTGTTAGAAGAAAGCACGGTCAAATGAGTCCTAAAGGAAGAATAGTTTCTCCAAAGAGATAAGGGAGTTGTCAAGGCCATTTCAGACACAAGGAACAAAGTACTGAAGGGACCACATATAGTCTCAGGGGGTTAGTTAAAATAAGACTGACAGACATTTTTAAATTTTTTCTTTAAATTAAAAAAAAAAAAACTGTACAAGATCAAGTATGGTACTCACCAGATAAGTGGAACAAACTGCTTTTTGGAAAATTAAAGCTTTTTAGAATCCCAGCGCACTGAGAAGCACGAGAGCAGTTACAGTGTTGGGTCTGCCTTCTAGCACTCGCTCACAGCCTTGCCTCTCCCCAGCTCCCATAAACACTCTAGCGTTCAGCAGCTATTCACAGGAAACTGTAGGCTCGTGGCTTTAGTGGGAAACCCAGATTTCACAGGGCATGCTCCTGGCTGCCTCTCAGGTTCAGTGTCCATGAAGCCTTGTAGGCTGCAACAAGAGGCAAGAACATTTCAGGCTGGCTTCTGGTCAGGCCTCTGTTGGCTGTCAGCAAGATAGAACCATCTAGAGACACAGCTGTTCCTCTGCAGAGCTGAGGTTCCTAGAACTCCCTGGGAAGCCCTCTCCCCCCAGCAAGCTGCCAGGCCTCAGGGTTTTCTGAAGTTCCCAGGAGACCATCAGCCAGTGTGAATGTAGGGAAAGCCAATCTCAGCC